TCAATACACTCACAACTCGTTGCATAAAACAATGTCTCCTGGTACTTCCTGGTTCTCCATTAAGTGTGTCTTCTGGCCAGTGTTTCACTGTTAATTCTGAGAAAGTCCACAGGGTTGACTTTGCCAGTGCCCATGAAGATGTCAAATACTTGGATCAGATTCCAGAATAGTCACCACTATACAAAACTAAAAATGTTCAATTGTACACAATGTGGGGCATTCTATTAATTACAGGAAATGTATTTGGCTGCTCTTCTCTGGACTGCACAGCTGCAATACAGTATGTTTTATTTTAAATTGGTGACAAAAAGATGTCCAATACATTTAAATGTGGTCTTACTAGTGCCTTGTACAATTTTAACTTAACATCAGTTATTGTGAATTCTACATTCATAATTATATATGTTAACATGTTGTTCATCTTTTTATTGCTTCCACTGCACTTGTCTACATTAAGCATCATCTCCTATTTTGACAGAGTCTATAAACATGACTAGTTTACTAATTATATCAGAATCCAGATTACGTGATATAAATTAGGAAGAGTGGAACTTAATTAGGAACTAATACTGATTTCTATGGTATACTAGTTACACCGCCCTAAAAAAGAGCAGTGTCACACCCAGACTTGAATCCTACTGTATAACCTTTCAATTTGAAATCTACAACTCCAGGCACTTCTCATACTTTTTTCTGTAGTCTAGTTACATTCTGTTCTTCCCTTCGTTTACTTTCATAACAAAAAATTAGATAGGAATTAATTTTTTTACCTTGAGTGATTAATGGAACATGCTCCAGCTGAGCTAGACAAATGATGGACAGAGGCAGATTGTAAGCTGAAGCCCCTGGCAGAGGAATGGCTCATTATGAGGGAAATCGAATATTGGCCTAATGAAAAACATTAACTTAATATTTGGACTTGCCCCTATTACAAGGGATTAATCTTATTTGAATAACCTAATAATCATCGATGAATATTCCCTGCAGCTAATCTTCCAGACTCAGACAACCTTTACAGCTGTCTACCTTAACATGCAAAGCAGGACTGAGGAACACATTTACTTATTTTTCTGGTAATAATATTACTGCAAATCTAAGTTTCTTTATTGATGACGATATAAAAAGAGCAACAGCACATCTGCATGTGCTACTGTCCATTAGAAGAGTGGATCTGAAAAGCAGGACAGCACTGTGGCGCAGGTGTCCTTGTGAGCTTATTTTTTCAAGCTTGTGTGACGAGACAAATTTTGAAAACATTTTTCACCTGTCACCTAAAAGGCTATACACTGTTCCCTGAAAGAAAGAGAGCATAGGCGCAGGAGAACTAGGCCTCTACCCCTTCACTCTTGCTCTTCCAGACTGGAACCACTGCTGTTGCTCCATACTGTATGTAGAGGAACCAAATGCTTTGGCCTGCATCACATTCCCACAGGACTCATACAGTATCTCCAGTACTTGAACTTTATTGCCATATGTAACCGGTACATGTACTGGTACAATGGAATTCTTACTTACAGAAAGTCTCTCAATTGTAAAAAAAAGTGTAAAACAGAAAGTGCAGACAGTGCATAAAGACAATATACAAACAAACAGTAGACAATGTACAAGTAAGCGAGTAAACAGTTCGAATGTAAACAATGCAGACATGTAAACAATGACTGCAGATGTGCAATAAATAAAATTACACTGAGGTAGATGGTGTAGGCGTGGTTCGAGGGGCATGGCCAAATGTGTTCGCCAATCGCACTGCTTGTGGTTAGAAGCTATTAAAGTGATATACTATCACTGTTATGATGAGAAATCAGTAATTGCATGCAAAACTGGATGGGAAACTATGTCCTCCATTACCGCATGAGTGTTCATTGATAATAATTCATTGATATCCCTTAGATTTATATAGTGCCTTCCTGGACAGTCTACTGAAAGCACTTTACAGGTAAAGGGGACTCCCCTCCACCACCACCAATGTGCAGCCCTACCTGGATGGTGCAACAGCAGCCAAAGTGTACCAGTACACTCACCACACATCAGCTCTCAGTGGGGAGAACAGAGTAATTAAGCCAATTTATAGAATGGGGATATTAGGAGGCCAGTATTGTTAAAGGCCAGGAGGAAATTTGGCCAGGATGCTGGGGTAAAACCCATACTCTTTTTGAGAAGCACCCTGGGATTTTTAATGACCATGGAGAGTCAGGACCTTGGTTTTATGTCTCATCCGAAGGACGGAGCCTTTTTACAGTATAGTGTCCCCATCATTATACTGGGGCATTAGAACCCTCACATAACAAATCGTGAGCTCCCCTACTGGTCACACTAACACCTCTTCCAGCAGCAACATTAGTTTTTCCCAGGAGATCTCCCATCCAGGTACTGACCAGGCTCACACCTGCTGAGCTTTAGTTGCCAATTCTTGCAGGATGACATAGGTGCTGGATAGTTTTTCTTGAACCAATTATGTTAGCTGTTAGCTCTGCCTGAACTCATGAGCCCTTTACTTTTATAGTAAATTGAGAGGTGAGGGGATAACATGCAGATTGAATAATTAGAAACACTCCTGGATACCAGGAGCTGTTAAAGTAAAAATAATGAATCTGCGACAGGAAATTGTATGGATTGCTCAAAGCTCAAAGGGAGTATGAAAATCTAATACCCTTATAGTAAAAAATATATATTTTTTATTCCAGCAAGCATTTCACTGGAGGAAAAAAAACATACTGAGGTTCAGAGAACTGGCATTAACAGGACAGACAAACTACTGTTTTTATTCTAGGGCTTCTTCAGATTGGATCTTTTTAGATTTGGAATGATGGAGAGACATGAAAGTACATCAATGCTGCGTGAAAGCATTACTGGTCTTTTTAATTGTTTTTATGTTGTCTAAAGAAACAGACAGGCTGAAATAACTGAACCTTTTTAGTCTTGAATACAGAAGACTATGAGGGCACCCGACACAAGTATTCAGAATCCTCAAAGGCACTGACAGTCAACCCCATTGACTGCTTCAGAAAACAAATGGTAAAACATCGAGCAAAGGATGACATGGAAGTGCATTAATAACTCACAACAGGAGGCATTTACCCACAGGTTGTTGGGCGTGTGGAACAAGCTCCGCAGTCATGTGTTTGAAACTGATGCAGCTGGATAAGACCCTTGTTTCAATTAATTACTAACAAACGAGTTAGATGGACTGTGTGGCCCCCTCTAATTTAATCTGTTCTGATGAAGAAAGAGAGGAACAGAAGAAATACAATACGTAGAACCAGCAGAGCTGGTCGAAACAGGGAATGACAGGCTGTCACGTTGCATAAAACGTCTGAATAAATCCAGACATTTCTTTTAGGTTTCAAGGTTTTAAAAAATTCATAGCTGTAACCTCCTGGATCCAGTTTACAGCATGTCAAAAGGTGGTGCAGGCATCCTCCAGCTGAATAGAAGGATAGACAGATTCTTAAAGCAGGAGGTCCTGGGCAGGTTGGCTCCCTGAGCATTGAGCCTCTTGTGCAGTGCTGTCTCCAGAGCAGCTAGGTTGTTTGCTCTGTCCTTAAGACTTACAGTACACATTATACAGCGAGTACTAGTCAGTGATCAGTCATGTCAGCATGTTAGAATGTTTCCAGTTACTGTTAAGCTTTTCTAAACTTGTTAGAAAGGGGGATTATATTATTTGCTCTTTTAGAGAGCTTTTAAAGACTGCTTTTAAAATAGGACCTGTTTTAAAAGGGATAGAATTTAATTCCAGAGACTCAGAGAGCCCATATAAACAGAGGTCCAGTAACTATCACAGTCAAGAAATAAATATCTACAGGATGTGATGGGTCGGAAGGCAGCAGAAAGAATGATTTATGACCCATAATTTAAATGGCTGTCTTTCAATAAGACCAGTAGAGGGTGTCCTGGAGTAAATACTTTCTTGGTCTGAATGGGTATAATGACTAAATGATGTTAGATTGAAATTTTGGAGAAACATGTAACATTCAAATGAATTTGAATAATAGCCCAAGCCAAGACTTATAAAAAGAGGTGGTATACATTTTTTACTACTCCACTCTGTCAATTTAAAAGTAATGAGTAATGACTAATTTCTTAGTCTGAAACTTGGAACCTCTATATGAGTATAGAAGCTTTTGAGTCATAAATACATGCACACATAAAGTCTGAGTTTCTCATAAAACAAATACTGTAGATGCCTGGCTTTAACTTTCATGTCTAATTTCTGTCAGTGTGCTTGTTTTTATGCTCTTTTTGTGTACATACACTAAGCTCATTTATAGAGATTCCTTTTACAATTTACTAGCTTGCAAGATTCATAAGATTGCATGGGCTGCTAGACTATATTCAGAAAGATCCTTGAAAAACTCAGGAGATCATTTTACAGAGATTGTATCTGTAACGAACAGTTCTTTCCGGACCCTATGCGGACGACACAATCCGAAGAAGTGGGGAAACACTAGGAAAAAGCCATGCAGGAATACGGGGATACGGGGATGAAAACAGGGGGGCGTGTCCAAAGTGCGCTGGTGCACGGGGGAGGTGTGGCCGAAGCAAACAATCCAAAAGTAAACCATAGAGGGAATCCAAAAACGCAAGAAAGTCCATAGCCAGGTGATCCATCCGAACAAGGAATTAAAAACACGGGTCGGAACCGGCGGACAAGGAACAGGAACAGAGGTTAAAACCTTAACGGGACCAGGCGCTTCCAGGTCCCGGACTCGCACGGTGCAGAAACCAGATGCAGAGCCAGGCTGAACGTCAGCACCTGGCTTTTAAGGTAGGCTGGGAAAAGGGGTCAGGTGCACAGAATTAAGTCTGAAGTGAAAGGGCTGGAGCACCCTTAAGGAGGAGGGACGATAATCGTGACAGTATCCACCTTCATTAGAAAATTACCTAAGGAATATTTATAAGGGATTTTCCAGACCTGCCATTTCTTGTGCTCTGAGCAGATTCAGCAAATTATTCTATTGATTCTTATTGTAACTGTTTGATCTTTTCCTTGTGAACAGGGCTTTCTATCTTGACAAGTCCAATTTGCCTCCAAGCTCAACACCGAAAGCGGCCTTAATTGACAAGGTAAATCGACATTAACATTTGTGTAAAAATTTGTTTTTTCGCCAGTGTTCTGTTTAATGTGTGTTTTGAAGAAATTTACCCCGTACAATATACTGAATATGCATTGTATATATTAAAGTACTGAAAAACAATAAAAATGCAAAATGAGAATTAACATCAATTGCTTTCTAAATTTTTAATGCCTCTCAATGTGTACATTATATATACATACAGTCATACATACAGACTTCATAGCACCTGCAACAATAACCTAAACATCTCCAAAGTCAAGGTTGTGTCACGGACGTCCAAAGGGACTAACCGTGGGGAGCAGGAGAGCGGAAAAAGACCCATATGCGTAGCGGCGAGACGGGAAAAAGGCCTGGTGCTAGGCGGGTCTCAGGACATCCGAACGTCAATGCTGAGCGAGGACAGAGTGCAAGACCCGGAAATATATAGCCCAAGGGAAAGAGAGGGACGGGAAGGACAGCAGACCGGAAACTAGGGACAGGACAGAGAAGGAGCGCCCTCTGGCTGCAGAGGGCGTGACAGGTTGAGGGGATCATACCTTATGTTAGGACATGAATAATAGCTCTGGCATACAAAGTCGTACGTGATCGTATATAGCTCACAAGGTGTGGACGTTTCAAGAAAGCCAAACCAACACCTCAATAGCCCTCAACAGGGCCATTGAGCAAACGTGTTACAAATCCGACACCCAAGCAAATGATGCAGAACACAAACTGCTATGTATGTTGCATTACTACTGTATTCACAGCTCAAGCTCAGGTCAAGTAGACAGACCAGAAAATATGAACTCTGGATCTCAGGCCTCCAAGAAAAACATATGAGACTAGTCCTTGAAAAACCAATGTGTACCAGTAGATACATTGGACAAAGTAAATTCTTTGCTGACCCCAATGTGAATAACTTCTAATTATTTGTCTATGAGCACCGTGAATCTCATGAAATTGTTGGAGCTCAAAGCTTACAGTATGCTATGCTGAAATTGGCCTCCTTTACATGTACTATATTCATTACATACACTTGCACCCTAGTACTAAATTTAAGCAGACTAACCATTTATAAACTTATTTAATAACAAGTTCCAGGTCCACATGGGGTGAAATAGGGTCAAAACGAATCGTATTTTTAGATTTTAAATGATGCCACCTGATTTACAGATTGTGGGGATGTTACCACATTCACTGTCAAAAGTGACTATGTTTGTCGGGAAGTTTTCCTCCCACGTTTATAATACATTCCCACGTACATCCACAAACGGACTTGCATGCCTACAATAAAAACCTGACATTAAAGTACTTCACAATACAGCTAGAGAGCCTAATGGTTTAGAATGGCGAAATGCCGACTTAATGCTCATGTAATAATAACCTGTGCTCATTTCTCATCCTTCTCCTCTCGTTGTCTGTCTCCTCTCAGCTGATGCGGCCTCTCAATCCCCTGGATGAGCTGTATCGATTGATGGAGTCTTTCATCAGCTGTAAGCGCACAGCAGCTTGCCAGTTCACTGCCTGTGGGGCCTCAGGGGTGGGTCTGCTGTCAGTGGCTTCGGAGCTCTGTAACCGTCTGGGAGCCTGTCATATCATGATGTGCAACAGCGGCGTGCACCGGTAACAGTGTGCCTTTTTTGCTTTCTTTTCCGTACGTGTCAATATTTTCCAAAGATGCATGGAAGATAATACATGTAAATGTGATGTACTACAGTATCATTCCATCCCGGGAGTATCTCACCTCGTCCGTTGTCTGCCAGGATAAGCTGCACATTCCCATGCAACCCTGAATTGGGTAAAACATTTAGAAGATGGATGGATATATATATATAAAGAATTAATGACATGCTTCTGAAGCCCTTCAAATGTTTGTATCTGCTTTGAAGTCTACAGGGTACAAATTTCATTTTCACAGTATGATATTTTAAAAACACACATCTGATCTTTGGTGCAAGTTCGGTTTTTCCCCTCAAAGGAAGAAAGAATCCCTAGAAAAATTGTCTTTTACTTTCATTTATTTGAGTTTCTGAATGGTTATCGTTATCATTTTATGTAACTGCAGTGACTTTAATATAAGGAATTACCATACCTGCTGGCACCAGACTCCTCCAGCAGATCTTTGTTAAGGGATTAGAGTGTACTCATTCTGATTGCAATGCCCTAGAAAAGTCCTAACTGCAATGTCCTATGTAGTACATAGCATATGTAGTTCGGGTGGGTAGGCTGCAAACAAGTCATAGGTTTATTCCAGGCTGAAAAGAGAAGAAAGGAGAAGGAGAAGAAGAAAGGAAACACAACGTTTTGGCTGTACATAGCATATGTTTCATATGATTATTTCCACCTTCCATCAGCTAGTCCTGTTATGTTTTTGCTGGCAACTATTATGACAGTACTGTATGCAAACCTTACCTTTAAGAGACTGAACACACAAAAAACTTACAGTGATTACAATTTAGTCCAGGAGGCTTTATTGTAAACCCTTCCAGATAACACCAAAGAGAAACCAACAGCTTCCAATATCTTAAAGCCAAACCCAAGTACACACCCTGTACATACTAATTAAAGCTTTTACAGCCATGTGAGAATGTGAAGTTGTCAACCCTTTACCAATTACAGAATAATCACACCCAGTGTGGCTATTGACAAGTGTTTATAGCTATTTACACAGTGGCCTCTAGCTGTAGCTTACCTATTATTGCTGCCCCTTTTTAAGCCAATCTGCCACAGACCATAATACTGATTATGTTCAACTTGAACAGTAAAGAAAACCAAAAGCGGTGAAGCTCAAAGACTGTAGACTATAGAGAGTGGATGTTGTGTTATAGGGGCCTATGTTAGACTCAATTTACTTATTTTACTTTCTGCAATGTTTTCAATATGTTCAACTTTCTAACAACAAATCTCGTATTAACTGTCCTGCTTTCTTGGACAGTTACATATTTTATTAGTTTTAAATACTGTATTTTTATTTTAAACCCCTAATTCATCACTACAAACATTGGTTACAGAAAATACAGAGTGATGAAAAGAATAGTTTCATACCACTTTGTCTCATTTTATTGAACAAAGTTGCACTCACTAAAGTTATGCTCTGACCTACTGTATTTTTCACCAAAACACATTCAGGAAAAAGTAAGGGGCTAAATATTGTGCCTGTTTTTTCCTTTTATAGTTTGTTCCTGCAGAAATGTTGTCTCTTTTTTTGTGTGGCCTTTTGATTAATTTTTGAGTATTGGGCTGCCTGTATCCTAATAAAAAATCCAAAATGGACTTTTGAGATTTAATGTTGTTTACCAGTGGCAAGTTGTTATAGCAATTAATTGACCATAAGACAGCACGAGGAGCACACTTTACTGTTTTACTGTATTAAACTGAGTAAATATTAAATTCAGTACCTCAGTGAAATGAAAGGGACCAACCTATGAAAGTTATTGGTTGTTAGTGGAGGGTAAATATTGTTTTTAAATTGTACTTTTTTCTACTGTTTTTATTAACTAAAAATATTACCTTGTGGTATACAGTATACAAGGATGATCAAAATGTCTTTAGAATCTGGTGTAAGTTTTATGGCTTGAAAAATGTGAGCATGGTTTGTCAGTTTATATAGTAGTAATGGAAAAGACTACAGATTTTGTAGGGGGTGTGCAGTTCATTTATTTCCAGTAGCAAAAAGCTGTGAAACAGAATTTAATTGGAAATTTCAAGTCACTTTATATGGAATGCACAGGCTGAATCAGATCACAGATAAACATTAAGTAACACCTTCAAAAGCAAAATGAAGCTGACCATGAAACTATGTAAATTTACAGTATTTATTGCCTGCAAGGAGATTCTGTTTAATTTGCGTTCCTGGTTTTCTCAGGAAACACCCCCAACAGCATGCTGTCCAGGTGAATTGGTGCCTTTAAATTGCCCAGTGTAGGCATATACATTATGCTTACATTGCAAAGAACTCATGTCCCATCCCCTAAGATGTACATAAGAACATACAAATGATTATAAATGAAAAGACATGATTTGGTCTGGCCTGTATAGCCTGTTTGGTCGTTGGTTGTCAGGCTAACAGTTGGTAGTCATCCAACTGTTTCTTCAGGATATCTGCTTCAACAACATCAGCTGGGTGGATTGTCCCACATTCCCACAAACCATACATGAGGAAAAAGTAGTTCCTGAACATGGACAGATAATTGAATAGAATATGTATCAAAATGTGTAAAGTGCTTTCAAAACGGCATTTAAATTTCTTTTTTTTTTCTTGGTGAGCGGATGGTGAAGTCATGGGTCTATACAGTATGTATTGCATTTTGTGGGATTTAATGGAAATGTCTAAAATGCCCATTTTGTGGTTTAAAAAGGGTAGCGAACCAGGATGCCTGAAAAGTGGTATTGTGAGTTTTTTCTTACATTAAGTAAGCAGTACATTAAAGCAATTAGGTGGTTGGTTATTGAAGGACTAATTGCAGATTCATTCTATGACTGATTGATTTTGCACATTGTAGGAGATAATTATCCAGTATCACTAGAAGGTAATGGCCCTTTGAAAGACAAGACTAGACTGCCTTAAACCACCCAGAAGTGAGGCAAGACTACAAACATACAATAAGAGTGTGGAAAGCATGAAGACAATTTAATTAGACATAACAAGTCTGATCGATGGAGCTCTGTAGCTTGTTATCACACAAATGTCAAAGCATACTCTTGACTTTCCTGTTCTCAAATGGGCCAGAACCTAATGCTAAAAAAGCAAGACAAAGAGTAAGCAATATACTGTAGGTGTTCCTACAATATATGCCATTTACTGTATTTTATGACATATAAAAATCTTTAGCTTTTCAAAGTTAAGTAGTATTGGCTATATGTCTTGAAGATTTTAACAGATGAACACCTGCAGAAAGATAACTGAGTTTTAGAAGCCAATGTATATTATAATACTGTATGTGTTTTTTGTAACAGTTATACAAGTTAAAGCCCATTTAAAGCTAGAAAATATATATTTTTACAATGTAGAGACATTTAATGGAACCCTGTTCTGTTATTTATTTTTGTGAGAGACATAAATTGAAAATGTTTTCCGTACTAAAAATGAGTTGTTCAATAATTTAAAATAAAAAATATAAATATTAAATTGAGTACCTCAGTGAGTTCTTGGTTTGGGATGACCTCATAAATTACAGTGTTTAAGTCTGAAAATTTGGAATAATCTCAATATTTTACAGTATTTTATAATTTTTAAGTATTTCATTACCTATGCATCTAAATATCATAGAGAATGCAAGCTGTTGTGTGCAATTATTAAACTTATTTTCAAAGGTAGTGTTGCATTCTTGCTATTTAAGAAGATTTTGGCTTAATTTCCCTGATGTAGGAATAGAAAGGGATCTTTAAAGCCCTCAGAAAGGCACTTAATTTAAGATTGAAGATTAAATTGATAATTTATATATAGCATACTGTATAGTAGTTGGTCAAATGCATATTGCAGTCCAATTCAAATCTCTTTAATGGGCCACATGTGAATTCTGACCAGTGGAAAAACCTTATCTGTACACTTGCCAAAAAAAAATATCTTTAAAGGGCCTTATATTCGAAACATTTAGAAGCTTAGCAGAAGCAATAAATGAGGGTTAAAGTGAATAAGCATTTTTGAATATAAAACCCAGAGACTTTTAAGGTTATGGCCAAGATGCTCTGATATTTGAGTTAAGCATTACTGTTGATACCTCAAACCTCAAAGCAGAAAGTGTTTTTGTCTGAAGTTAATGACAGTGATTGAAGCTGTGCTTTAGGCTGGCGAGAGACTCCTGCTAACTTCTCTTTTCTGTTCAATTTCTGGAACAGTAGAATATTGGTGTACTGTTATTGTATTTCATTAATTCTGTTAATATCACTGATTCCTTTATCTGTGTGTATTTCCAAATGAGACGTGTGAGTGTCTCTGTGCTACTGTACATTCCTCGTATGTTTTAAATTATTTGGAATAATTGTTTGGTGCAGACACAAAAGTAACTGCTTCTAAATGGATCCTACACCAAGATGTTTTTTTTTTTAATGGAAACTATGTGCAGCCTGTGTCAATGATTAGCCTCTTGAATGGCTGAGAAAAAAATTAAAGCAGAAGAAATTCCTGGCGTATGTTTTAGAAATCGTGTCACAGTGGAACAGTTTCCTCCCGCAATTCAGAAACATACAATTCAGATTAACTGGCTTCTGGGGAAAATTGTTTCTGGTGTACACGATTGTGTCTGTGTGTATATCCTGCCTTTTACCCAAGGCTTGCTAGGATAGGCTCTGGTACCTCTGCAACCCTGTATCGGATAAAATGGTTAGAGAATGGATGGTTGGATGTTCTAGATATCTGAAATCCTGCTGCAAGTACTTTTTCTGATCAGAATTGACAGAAGTCCCGATAGATTCATACAGTAGCAGTACAGAGAGTTGTTGCTTTCCTACCCTGGAGACTTGCGGAGCACCGTCAGAATCCCGGGATGCCAGGATGACAAAAATGTCCGAAGCCACATGCATCTGAGCAAACCAGCAAACACCTTGAGAAATATTTTATTTCTTTCAGGTTAGTTATGGAATGGATTGATACAAAACAGACAGTGGTTGCAGTTAGCGTGTTTGTGTTCTTGGTAAGATAGTGTATGGGAAATGCATTGCATGACCAGTGTCCATGCTTCATTCCTGGCAGGTGCACCCTGAGTGTCACGCTGGAGCAGGCCATCCTGCTGGCAAGGAGCCACGGGTTACCTCCCCGCTGCATCATGCAAGCCACCGACGTCATGAGGAAACAGGTAGAGAACCGGCTGGCTGCCTCCTGCAAGCTTCTGCTTTTCTTGTTTTCTGCTTAGGACTCTGCAAAGCTTAGATACTGCAGCTGAAAGTCCGATTTCTTGATTTTTGGCTGACGATTTCTCTTTCTTCATAGTGGCAGCTGGTATTAAATTGATGAGTATGAGTGACTTTGCTACTTTGCTTTTAACCCAGGTTTTTTTTACTCTAGTATTTCTGGCAATATTCAGATTTTAACAAAATACTCAGTTTTACACTTTTATGTTGACCAGTAAACAGTTATACTTGCCAAGAAATAATTCTGGTCACTTTTTCAGTTAAATACTTAAACCTCATAATCATATTAGTTGAATTCAATTTTCACAAGTTTCAATACAAAGAACAGTGATTAATGATTAATACCTGAAAGGAGTGTTACATGAAAAGCCTGAAGTCATTTAGCCATCATGGATGAATATTAATTGCTTTAAGTTGTTTGCATGAAGCTCCTCTGTCCCTTAAAGTGAAGGAACATTTAAGGGAAAATATAAGAAAAGTTTAAACTTAAATCAGAAATATTTTCCATGTGAGCAAACATAGAGCAATTTAATGATCTAATTAACAAGGAAATGGACATTTAACCCACAAGGAAATTTAAGTCCAAAGGTGTTTCATATACTAATTGGCTTCCAAGTCTATAGACAATTTTAGACAATTTTGTCCGTTTGCATGTCTAAATAGGTCTAAAATAATACACACTCAGTATTTCTTATGACAGTATATCATTTCTCAATTTGCAATATGGTTAAAACATAATGCACAAGTCTCTCTGTTAAAGAAATAAGATATCGACAGGCAATGTAAAATATCGCTTCTGGTTTGAAATGTAGTTTCTTTTCATCTGTCAAACACATTCCTAAAATATTCTGAGAGGCACACTCAACCTCTTATGTTTATAAAGATCTCTGTTAGCTCATTTGCTTACCAACATCATTACACTTGCATTTGCAGTTTTTGTTTTGAAGTGCGATTTTAAGAAGGGTGTACAGGACTAGCCATCTGGCTTCTGAAAGGAGTTCATGTTCACGGCAACGCATGGCTGCAGTGATGGCTCATTCCTGACTGAGTCTGTTACAATGATTTACACACGTCTGATAAATGGACAGGAGAGAATATGTAATTTTGAACTACTTAATTAAACCTGTCATTTTGCCTAGGGTTTTGAGAACCTGGTACATACTGATTTGTGAGCATAATTCACGCCTTTTATGTTTCACCAGTAAATTCCTTTGAAAAGGGACTTCCATAAAGAGATCATGCAACTGACGGGTTCTAATGCTTTTCATTTTCCACACCTTATAGAAAGCACCCTCCTGACTTATGAAATGGATTGCTGAGGAAGCTTCATTAATGCGCTCCGAGCTGTATGTGTGCACAGAGAGAACAATATGTTTTTTGTGTGACACTGGAAGGAGGGGGGTTTTTGCTAAGTGCTCTTAATTCTGTGTCCTGGATAAAGTGGGAGCATCTCCTTGGAAACAGTAGGAAATGCTTCTGCTTTCCACACTTTTGGATTAAAAGTAATCTGTAGTGACAGATTTGGAGTCACGGTGAACTTTAAGCATTGGCAAAATGAGACCTTTCGTATTGGTAGGGTGTCATTTTGTCTCTTTGGTTTCAAAGTTGAAGAGGGTGGATATCTACCTTAAATCCCCCGTAAGAATGAGAATCACCTTTATTCGCCAAGCACAGTCTGGAAAATAAGGCCCTAGCAGCACCCACTGCCTTCTCTCTTTGAGAAAGTTGGAAATCCAGTAGAAGATGAAAAGTGGAAGAAGTTCTAACTGTGGAGGAGGTCTGGAGCCAAAATACACAAAAATGATGACTGTTTATCTGGCTTTTTAACCTGGTGGAGACACATTTGCCATTAATGTGTCATGATCATTAATTTGTGTGGAAAACAATTAGAAAATTGTTATGGCCTGTTGGTGAAGTGGCGCATCAGCAATTTATTTCCATTGTTTCGCTTTTGGATTCCAAATTCCACTGTTTACCAAATTCCAAGTGCAAATACAGTACCTTTCACTTCCTACGTCTGCAACTTGTGAAAAAAAAAAAACATTCTGGAAGGAGAACAGAAGCAGCTTATAGAGTTTATTATAATATTCTGTAAAATTATTACACTTTACAATTTATACAGTACTGTACATGTTAATTCATATTGAAAGTCAGATTATACAGAACACTGTTGTCCCCTATTACCCTAGTCCCAGTGTTTTTCAAACTAAAATAGATAATATAGTACATTTTCTCAGATGGTTCTTAAATAAGAAGCAATGCTCCTTTTGTGTAAATCGTTGAATGAATATTATTAACCAAAAAGGGAAAAGGTTTTATCCCTCCTTTTTGAAGGAGTACTTCAAGGACATTAATTTACTACCATTTTATTGCTTATTTTTATTGCCTACTTTATCTGTCTGTTGGCATTTGTAAAACTATTGCATTCTTCGAAGATGGTTTTAATAAATTAAATTGAAAATGGCATTACTGCCACACAGCGCAGCATTAAATGTGTGTATTTTGGTTAACTTAACTGCCTGGAGAATTAATTAGCAAATTCCCTAGTTCTTAGGCTCAAGCATGGCTTCTAGAGTATGAATGAATCCCTACCATACTTTCTACCGTTGATCATTTATTAAAATATTTTCACTATCAGAGGAAATGATTGATAGGAGCTATCCACATGGATATATAACAGCATTAAGGAAAAGCTACTTACATATCAGAGCTGAGATGGTATAATACTCACATTTAGATCTCGCAAACATTTATTTATTATGACTTTTGAAAATAATATAATAAATTGATAACATTAATTATATAGTATCATTATACTACAGTTTATATTAAAATATTTAAAATGTTTCTTAAAATCTGTGAGTTTATTTTTTAAATTACTTTTTTTTTCTTGCAATTGAGTAAGCAAGCTCCTGAACTTGAGAATTAGAATATGGAATGTGCTTGGGTGGGATCAAGTGTTTTCCAGCATTAATTGTTATTTAAATCTCTGAAAGCAGCATTGTGTCTTATGAGCCTTTTGCTCCAGGTGAAAAATAATCTTTTATCTGTTATTTAAAATGTCTGTGCTTAAGGCTGCACGAAAACAAATCCAACAGAAGCAGCCATTTAGAACATGCGGGTACCTCTGTGCCATGGAGTTCATCGCATCCTTGCTTTTTTATTTTATCAAATAATCTGATGCAGGACTGTAGTACTCTGTAAAACTACCAGGTCAATCCTTAAAGTACTCCAGCTGCGTGTAGTTGTCAGACAAATTGTACAAGTACATGTTTATTTAGCTTTCAATGTGCTTTCAAAATAAACGTATATATGCTTAGTCTGTGAATTTGGGGCTGTAAGGAAAATAGTTTTTTAGCTCCCTGGCCTTTTTAGATTCCCCTGTAGCATTTTATGAATGGTACCCTCTTGTCATCTCTCTGTGGATCTTCCTAATCTCATAGTACAGGATATAAGTACAAGTTCTTTAAATCATAAACCTTTCCAGACGCATCACCTGGGTTTCTTTCTCAATGTGCACTGCTCATACTCCATGTGACTCAGTCTAGTTTGTGGGTTCTCCCTTTCCTGAAATTTACACTGCATGTGCTCATTGAGCATTGCCCTCAAACTCAAACACTAATCTTCAGAGTGGTGTGTTCATAACCTTCTCGATTTAGAAATACTACTAAAGCTGCCTTGTGATCTTTCATTTCCACTTTTTGTGTCAGATCTACTAACCATACCTTCATTCATATTCTGTCTGGGCAGTCTTCTGCAAAGAAGCCTCCATGTCACCAAAACTCCTAAATAAAGCATTCCCAACCTTCAGGGCTTAGGAACACAAGCTACTAACCCTACCCTCTCTCAACTGCAAACACAGACAATGAACCCACAACAGTACTTGAAAATGTCTGGCTATGTGCACAAAGCTCTGCCCTTTGGTCTGATTCTTGGCTCATGACTACTGCGGTACGTTTCCCAAAGCTGTTAAGACTAAGACAGAAGTCAAGCATTACTTAGTTTCTTTTGTTGGGTTTTCAGTTCCTTTAAAATTGTTATAGGTATCTCTGTCCTGCCACACTTGGATGGATGGGTCTGATATTCATCGTATAATTACTGATCTTTATCCAGGTACAAGCTCCAAATGAGACTCTGACTGAACTACAGCTTTTGACAGCTAAATGGCTAAGTCAGTTTCATGATCAGTCTTTCTCTTGATCCAATCTTCTCAAGTAAAATTATGTCCTCATGCGTTAATGTTACATTTCTTAAAGTAGAGGCAGTGTATGTGCATTAGAGATAATCATTCCCTGAGCTAAGCTTTTAGGGTAGACATTTACAAAGTTTATATTCAATCTGAGGTTGATACCGATAGAAAAGAAAAGGATGAACTTTACTTGTCACCATCTAGATGTAAAAAGCTGAAAAGTTAATTGGTCTCCATGGTTAAATAGTGGCTTGAAATTCACTGCCTGACTTAAGGGCTCTTACACAGATACGTGTAATTATTCTGAATTTAAGTGAACCCCTATTATTGCACACAGACAGAAACTTTTCAAATAATTGTGGAAAAGATTTAGGTTTGCAATTATCATTCATAATTTTATTTTTATTGTTTACTTATGATTATTTATGTACAGTAAGCAGATTTACGTATGCAATCAACATACGGTATTTTAGTTTTTTATTTTTCTAGTTTTAGCTTTTTTCTCCCACAAGCACCTTGAGCATTCAATTTAATTCATTCAACTCGATTAAAAGTGCACATTGGACATTATTTGAAGGGACTGTGGATAGACGTACACCTATATGAATACAGACAGTACTGTGTCTTGAAAATGTGGTGAAATGAGTCTGATGATCTTCCCTTAAAGTACTATTGTAGATCATTTCACTTGATACCCCCTTGCACACAACAATATAATAAATAGTTTGATCTTCCACTAGAACTGCTGGTAGAGACTATTAAATATCTAAATATGGCTGTATATGACATTAATATACAGTGGTCAAAACTTTATGTTGGTGATCTCCTTCTTTCTTCTTTTGTATTTCTGTCTGCCACATTCTAATTTTATTTTGATTACTTATTGTAGACTTCCAGAATCTAAATAATTGATCAAAGTCAGTCCATATGCCCTTGAATCCCCTTGCTTGGACAGCTCATCCACTCCACATTCCCATTCAGCCACAGTTTTCAGGATTGATTTATTCAGTCATTAGGATAGCCTCTGATTAGCAGTACATTCCTAATAACAATAAAGTATGCACAAGTCCTGAACAACATTTACACAAGTTTAACAAGATTATCTTTACAAACTACATTGTATGGTGGGATCTCCATTATGAAAATAAACATAGTTCCTCACAGCAGGTTCTATTATACTGTACCTAGTTCAAGTAGGTAGCTGCGTCAGAAGGAGTAGGATGCAAAGGAACAAGAAGGCTCCACGGCCAAAAAGTTGTGTTTTCTTTCTTCTCTTTTAAGCATGGAATAAACCTATTACTTGTTCCCTTGCAGCCTACGCATGCTGACGCAGCTACCCACCTGTATGTACAGTAGTCAGTTATGACTTCTTTCTCTTGTCAAAAAACACTCTCCTCCCAGGAATCTTTACAGCATTTGGGATAGCGAGCTAGACAAAGCCTGACTGAGCTCCAGTCTAGGGCAATGTTTTGTACTGCATGTCCCTGTCACACCAGATCTGGCATTTTAATACGTCACACCATTTCATTTTAACATTGTGTGTAGACTACTGTATATGCAGCACAATACTGGGGGTTCCAGATAGACATCTTTCCTGGTCATTTCTACCATAGATGCACTCAGGACGGAGATCTCTTTTAGGCCTCTGTGTCACAGATTCACAACGTATCCTGCACCACCTACTGTACATTGTTTTGGAGAGTCCACTGGAGTACGTTTGAGTGTCTGTGACTACATACAACTAGATTATACACTGTGACAGCAAAAACTGTGACTTACGACTATCTTTAGGGCTTTTTTAACTTACTCTTTTCCAGCTTCTCCATTTTTCTCCATTATTTGGTTGTTAAACTCAAAAAAATATATGTTCAAAACGCTTTCAGATTACGCATCATATTTTTCATATGAAATGGTCGGACCTGATGGGAACTCATGTCCGTTGTGAAACATACCTCACTGAATACCAGATCTTTGTCGATATGAGACTTCAAAGATTAACTTTCGTAGTGAGATTAACCTACTTTTGACCTTATTGAGTTATTCAAGTAGGTATTAGGGGTGATGCAGAAAAGCTTAACTTGCACATATTCTGTGCTCAGGGATGTTGCATTCTACAGTAGGTTATGCAGATGCAGCTCCAGTGTTGCTGTTTCTGACGACACTACAGTAAACCCTACTGCGCTGGGCTTGGAGGAACTCCTGTATTGAAGGCAGCTGTCAGCACGGTTAAAGTAACGTGTGACCTACAGCAAAAAATAAAGATTATTTATAGACAGTGTTCTTTTTTAAAACCATGTACAAGGAGTGTAGATTTATGATCTCATTCAATGCTTTCAGCTAACAAGGGGCCTGTCTTCTCATTGTCTTGATGTAAGGCAACCTTGGTTTCCCTGTAAGAGCCTGACTTATTAAAAAGCGTCATCAGAAATGATTAATAAGAACAGAGAGCGGTACAGTGCAAACTCATAGTTCATCTCTGTGACTTTGGAGGCAGTAAAAATGTATATCTTGCATCAGCATTTATTTTGACAAGTGACTGCGTCTAAAATTACCTGGCAAGGCCAATGCTTGCAAAATTGAAAAAGAGCAGTTTGGGACTGATTAATTCTTCAATAGCACTGCTTCCCTGTTGAAAGAGTACCTAGAAATCAAAATTCTCTTGCTTTATTATTTATTATCAGCTAGCAGAGACAGGAAAGTGCTGTAGAATTTAAATTGTTCTTGTTGAGCTCTTAAAATATATGGCTACATCATATCCTACACAATTTGATTTGATGTAAAGAAAGTTCATACAGTATGTCCTGTACGTTTATACGCATTCTGTTGTTGTTTAACCTGATGCCGTGTAGGTAAGCTTACTGTATTGTTATCTCTTGTACCATAATGAACATTTTCAGCATGGCTTCAAAAAGATAGAAGAGAAGATAGAAGAGAACCACCCTATATCAGAAGACTGTGACTCTAAGGATGCTTTGACCTTTAAAAATAAGAAACTTTATTATTAAACGTATTTTGCCAGGACATTATTGTGCGTATTTTTGTTTTTTTGGAGCTATTGTATGTACATGTAACAGGCTACCTCTTGGATATCATGCAAACACACCACTAATTTTATTTTTTTTCAAACAGGGAGCAAGAGTCCAAAACTCCGCCAAGAACCTGGGAGTGAGGGATCGTACTCCTCAGTCTGTGCCCAGGTAACTCAGTGAGATGCTCTGGACTCTATATTTAACCTGTGAAGCTGTTTCTCTCTTCCATCACTTCATCTGCTCTGTGATTTGTTTTAAAGTCACGTCTTTCAGGAAATGGTTGTATAAGATCCTCAGTGCAATTAACTACTAAAAAACAAATGAGCTACATGTAGATGGGCAAATCTAAAGCTGTCTTGGATACTTCAGGGTGAGAACACTTTATAAATGCAGCAAATAATAAATCGGTACTCAAAATACTGAGCAAGAACAGTCCAAATGATAATATGATAAGCAGACATCAGCAAACTGCAAAATTGTGTGTTTCTATGTTATACAGAGTGTAAAGTATATAGATTTTGGAAGTTTTTTGCCTAACTGCTAAACACAATTAGTCAATTCACATTAGGCTGATATGATATGCTACCTTACTGCTGTGTCAGATTTTTAACTTTAAACAATAAATGGTAATTACTTTAAAAAGAAAGAAAAAAAATCAACGTATGTAGAATGTGGGATGTGTAATACAAAGCCCACTTTCTGTGTTCAACCGCATTTTTCCTTCATATTTTTCTTTTTCTTAAGTTTGTGCCACACGTGGTTTTACTTCAGCTGCACTTGTTTCTACTTTGAGTGGGAGGTTTATTGAAATCGTACTGTAAGTAGTCTGTATAAAATACAGAAAAGGTTCTAAACCAGTTTAGCTGTGTGGCCAGCTCAGGCGGGGAACACTCTTACATCCTACTCTGTGTTCCACTGAGAGATCAGAAACAAAGTGATGTATGGAGCAGTGGGCTTCTCACTGGTTTTTTTTTTTTGTTAAGACAACCAATTAAACAGGAAGGTCACTACCAGAGAAACGAGCGTAGAAAATTGCTTACAACCTCAAAATACAGTGTATTAGATTTCATAAAGCAAAAATTATATGGCACTAATGTCAAGGCTAAGTGTGAGGCAGCCACTGTTAAGATATTAAAAGCTAGAGGTAAGCCAAAATTAGTAAAGGACGCTGAATGTGTCAAAACCATTAGACCTTGAAATATAGGATTTGTTGTGAGACCTAGCCTTTTGACCCTTTTAACAAAATTGTAAAATATTTTAAAGTGGCAGATCATTAGTTAAGCTGAAGTGACAATATATAAAACAGCATTATATTTGAAGTATTTATTAGTTAATTGAACAAGTGAATGTTTACAAAAAAACAACTTCAAGAGGAGCTCTGCAGTGATGTGTGTGCACTTATAGAATTAGTACTTACGGTGTTTACTAATTCATGCACTTACAAGTGCTGTAATTAAAACACCAGTGATTTCTGGTTATACTGACCTTATTACATGAGCAAGATTTACAGCGTGACAGATGGTGCAGATGCCACCAGTGTTACCATCTTGTAGCCGGATCTGTCAGGTCTCGGAAGCGCGGCGAGGCTCGATTTAGTCAGCACTGGGATGGAAGACCTCCCAGGAAAACAATGAACTGTATGTGGTATGTGAGAGGTATTGGTGGACTATGAGGTGGTTTTCTCCCCTCTGGATCACAATCTCTGAAAGGTGACTAGGTACATTGTGATGTAACGTCCTTGAAATGAAATGTCGTACCAAGTCCCGACGACTTGATCTTCAAAGTTTCCCTGATTGAAAAGCCAGGGAATATTAACTCCAGTGTCTTGGCTACATTCTATTATGGGCTTGCACTAAATGGCCTCCCTAAATTTCTTAATTCAGCTGGTGAAGCAGTTTGTCATTTCTCTGCCTCATCTGCTGTGTGGTGAAACTTTTCTCGTTTCTAGAAAAGAGTAGGACTGCTACCCTGGCATCCTGGCCAAATTTCCCATTGGCCCTTACCAATCATGACCTCCTAATAATCCCCATCTATGAATTGGCTTCATCACTCTGCTCTCCTCCCCACTGAGAACTGGTGTGTGGGGAGTGTACTGGCGCACTATGGCTGCCATCACATCATCCAGGTGGCTGCACATTGGTGGTGGTGGAGGGGAGTCCCCATTATCTGTAAAGCGCTTTGAGTGGAGTGTCCAGAAAAGCGCTATATAAGTGTAACCAATTATTATTTGTATTAATGAAGGCTGCAAGGCACTCAGGTGGAGGCTACACTGCTGTTTCCCCCATGCATAAAGCAGTTTGGGATCCGATATGGGACAAAAGGCGCAAAGCGCAATATGAACACATAGCAGATTATTAAGAAATACACAGATCATCCTGGGTGATGACAAGGGGAGAGTGCAACTAGCCTTCCTCACCTAGTGAAGTATTTCCTCAGGACCACACTACTGCAGCTGTCATACCAATGATAAAATATCTTTCACAAATTATTCAACGTGGGAAAAGATACAGTACGTAAAGTTCTCAAGCATTATATTTCATATACCATTTACCTGCTACTGTACATCCCATTGTGTGGCGCTGTTGTAAGAGCAGAAAATAGCGACTAGTGGCGGACTTGTAAAATGCCGTAGTGTGCAGGGCTTTGCAGAGTGTGCCGTCTCATTATTACAGTATCAATGATATTTGCTTCATTTGATCAGGTGATTCAGTTTAACTCGTCACAGGTTGGGATTTTTCCAACAAGTTGCATAAGAGGACAAAGTTCCATTTGTGATAATATGTGAATCCCAGTTTGCAAGATAACATTTAAAATAGTTTTGCAGACAAGAAGGGATAAAAAAGCAATTACTTTAAAGGTCACAGAGTGAGAGCAGCTTTCCTTTTGGAGATGGTAAATGTACGTTTTAATTTCTTTGTTATGGTATCCCCTGGCAGAATTATAAAGGTATAATTAGACTGTTCTCAATGTTATACTTTTACATAATCTTTGCATAATATTACCAATTTATCGTATAATGAAATTCACATTTCCACTTGGCACAGGCACTTTAAAGAGCAAACAAAACTATTTTCCTCGTGCGGACTTTTCACATACCGTATCTTATTACATTTGCTGAATGCGATTTCTTTATGTTGTTCTGCTCAGATGGCTGTTTGTCATGATATAAACTGGGTCTTAAACACCTGGTCACCGGTGTGATTAACATCCAAGTCAACAAGACCTCATGGCTCTTGCGTGTTTTATCCATTCAGGTTGTACAAGCTCTGCCAACCTCCTCCTCCAGATGGAGACCCATGAAGACACCTTCTTCAGACCCAGCCGGGTTCCAGCACAGGACCTGTGTCTAGTGGCAGGCAGCACCTGTAACAGCACTGGGCCAGAGGTCTGGCTTAGCAAAAGCTTACCATCAGGGCCTGAGGCTGACCCTTTGTTTTCTGCTCTTTCCCTTATAGGAATTACAGTACTTAATGTAAACAGAAGAATTATGTGTAGCTGCCTCTCTGTACTTTATTTTTAAAATACACATACCGGATCTCATTTGGATCATCGTTGTGTCTCTGCGACATTACATCTCAGTTTAGTTCTTCGCTTTTTGAATTTTGTAGAAAGAAATAACCACTCCAAACTAAAAAAAAAAGCAGTTTCTCACACAGACTCAAGCTAATCAGGTATTTGTTGGCTTTGAGCGTGCTGAACCATCTCAAAGCAGGGATAAGAAGGGATAATAAAGTGAAGCTAAACTGGCTTCCCAGTAATCATCTAATCACCTTTCAATTTCCTGTTAAGCATCATCCTTCATTTTTACATAATAACCTATATGCTGCTGTGAAATGACAGTCGCATTGTATGTTCCTTGGCAGTGCCTTAAAAATATATTGGATTTAGTACATTTTAAATAAACTTTAAATAGTATTATGCTTTTCTATGTTGTACTAAGCTGTTGTAAATAGGTTTTAAATATATATCCAGGACCAAAACGTTTTTCAAGAGTCAATATTTGTTAAGCAGATGTATCACTAGCAATGTAGGTTATTTTTATTACTATGCAAATAGAGGAGAGCAGAGATTTAATAACTTTTGAAGACTTTAGATTCTGTGTTAACTCTTTTCTAAACGTTTCCTCATAATATGCTGTAAACAAAAGTAACAGTTAAATAAAAATGGTGTATAACAAAAGGGTCTCTGATGTAGCAGCTCCTAAATTGTTTTAAATTGCAAACATTTTATAAAGCAATTAAGAAATGTAAAGATGTGAAACTGTAAAAAAAAATAGTAGCTCTGTTTGTTATAATGCATAGGATGATAATTTATTTTGTTTTATAAAACAAACTTGTACTAGGACATGTATTCATGGTTTTGTTTTTTCTTCAACTTTCAATTGATGTGTATGTTTGCTTTTAGCATACTTTTAATATATAATGTCATGCTTTAGTTATTAATTTTAATTAAACACATTAAGATGTTTACACTTTGTTTTCATCTCACTTCAAGTCCGAGGTTCAAAACCCTGGGATTGAGTAATTTCATAAGTACCTTTGGAGGAATAACCAGTCATACCAAAGCTATAACTTCGAAGGGCTGGAGACTGAGCCAATTTAAACCCCTGGTACAGTATGTACAGTAAGTTGAATCATTTTCACATAAACCTTATACTGACACATCATGTGGAGTTTCATTTAATTGGATAGAGGAGTGAAAATCAGTGATGATCAATGGTTAGTCCCCACAAATACAGGGATACAAATTTGTCTTTTTTATATTGTTTGAAGGCTAAAGTTAGATTGAATACTTCCTGTTTAAAGTATACACTACACATAATAGGAAGGCTCAAATTGAACACAATTCATTATCGTGAAACTGCACATACAGTACAGTAACCATACAGCATAAGTTAGTATTTAGAAACTTTTGGACTTTTTGAAATTTCCTCAGTGTAAAAAAGGTCCCTGTTTCAGTGAAATATTGCTTATTGCTCCACCAGCTGTAGTGACAGATCACCTTTCTAAAACACTTATGTATTGTATCAGCATTAAGAAGGTTATAGTTCTGTTAACCAGTTAACCTTGTTCTAAAAATCCAATTAAACACAAATAATTTAAATGGACGTAAAAAGTGTCCAAATTAAATGGATTTTGTTGATTATTTATACAAGATCTTTATTTGGAAATCATTCATCCTGATCCATTTTCATGTAGAATATTGTTACTGCTTTGTGAGTATGTTCATTCTTTTGCTCCAGACCTATTTCTCTGGGCACATGATGAGCTGTGTCATTATCATTTCAGTTGTGCTTTAAAATGAGACAGTTTATCTTCAGGGGAAAAATGGAATTAATTTAGTTTTCATTCAAATGTTACATAGCTAAAGAAAGAGATGAAATTATATGATATCTGTATCGGTGTACTCCTCTCACCCCAATTGTAATCATTTTCTTCTAAAAATAAAGCAACAGTAGATATATTAAGCAGATCCTCAAAGACCTGTATGGAATTCTGAAACTCACGGAAGGGATTGTGATCAAAATTTCATACATAATGGCTGTGCCAAGGAATAATAATGATAAAAACGTTGATGAACTCTTCGTTAAAAAGAAAAATAATGTATTACTAGAATTTGCCTTGTTAATGTTAAAATGTGTTATTTTATGTACTGTAGCAATGTGTTTCTCATAAAATCCATGGAACTTTAAAAGAAATATTAATATTTCTAAAATATTCACATTTTACATCCATTAATATAACAGCTAGGCTTAGAAGTAATTTTCATATAATGAACAACTACAACGTTCATTATATGTATCATGCTATGATATAGTTATTAACTAAATTGCATTTTATTATGTGTAGAGAGTACATATCTTTAATATAAACTAATAAACTACAACGTATCTATCTACATACTGTACTGTACATTGTATTGTATAGTAATATTTTGTAATCGATTACCCAATTGATCTGAATTTATCTTTTGTAATTTAACAGGGACAAATTAAGCTTCTGACTCGTCTTTTTTCTTTTAATGAATGATTTTTTTTACAGTGAACACCATTTAAAGCACTCTACGTTAAAGACAGGGATGGGAAAAGATGTTTATTTCATAAGATTGGGCACGAGCTTTTGTCTTTAGTTTACCAGTGTTTTTCTACTCTTTTAAGACTGGAGGGATTTGAGAATACAACCATTTCATGTTGATCTTCATGTCCGCCAAAATTGTTTTTCTCATTTCAAGATGAAAGATTAAAGCAGGTTATTCCTTATCAGAAACAATTTTCCCTCTGGTCAGACATAACACTGCTATCTGTCTTGTCCACTGTTCAGGGTTAAAGCACTTATGGAGTTGTGTACCAGCACCCACATATAAACATGACATGGGAGACTGTTTAAAAGACTGTAGTGTGATGTTATACAGTTATAACTGGATCTAAACTAACACTTAATATCATTAAAGATGTTACATCTAACCAACTAGAAAAACAATTTCCACTCCCCTAACCCCGGGGGTTTGCATTTAGATAGCTTTTGAGACAAGACTGTGGAAAACACTGCAAAGAGAAATGCACTTAGCTTTAGAGTACATAATGTATGCTTAGACATCAATCACAAGGAATGGTCTAACTGGATGTTATCAAATTTAGATTGAAAAATGATTGCATTGCACTTTAGTCCCCTTTGTAGTGTTTTTTTTTTAGCTGGAGTTAAGAGTGTCATGCCTGGGTGAGCCTTAACACATGGCTCTCGTTTTACTCGGAAACTCAGAGTATTCACTCAAGGAGCCCTATTCCACCAGGGACTATTTGGACTTGGTTGATCTGATTGTCCCAGCTTCCCTTGTCCAATTGGAGCCTTCACCATCATGGCCACACTCTATAAACCTTGCTTGGACACTGGTATGGTGCTCTGTCATTGAGCAAATTTAATACCACAATTGTGTGTTTAGTAGTACTAACCTCCCTCTTAGAAGTCTACCCTGCCTGAATCCGCCTGAAAAACTCCAAGTATTTCTTGAACCTCATCTGCCTGTCAGAATCAGACTCCTTCCCAGCACCAGACCAGTAGCTCTACCAGTCCCCTACATGGCAGCAAATGCACCGTGTCTTCATCTGCCCTGAAGCCGGCATTATCTTTCAGTCCAGTCCTGATCTCTATCGTCATTTCCCATCCTCTTTCTCCATCTCTCGTCATCCTGCCTCGACAGCCTCGCCTCCGAAAATCACCCAGCTCTAGCACTTGGATTCCAGTCGATCCGCAAGACATGGCTGTTACTTCCAGCTAACCGCATCATAACAAAGAGATGATGAAAGAAGGAAAAAAGGGTTTTATGATTTCTCTTACCTTCTTCAATTAGCTTTCCAAAACATTGACCATGTGGCCAGCAGGTGAACAGTAGGATTGTTAGTGTTGTTCAACAGCAAATAAGTGGACAGAACAGTGTGTCTCCATCTGCATTTAAAGGTGAACTGCAGTCTCAACCAGTTATTAAATCTTGGTAAGAAAATAAATTCATTGACCGTACAGAAAAATGTTACAAATTTCGAATTAAGGACAAAGTTGTGAACTTTGTGAAAGTACTGTAAGTAGCCATGTTGTCACAAACCCCTGGTCTTGCCACAGGCGAGAGCAAGAGTTCCCACAAAGTGTGAGGTGATGCGGCCCTTTCTGCTCGCTAGTCACTGTAATATCTAATGTAATGTGATGTGTCTGTTTTGTGATTCAAATCGGAGGATTTACAAATTTACTTTTATTGTGGTTTGAAATGCACTCATTGATACTGATTCTTTCTAACTCTGAAATTTAAAAATAGTGTTGCAGTTCCCCTTTAAGTTTTTACCCATGTGACACCATGGAGTGATGTTTGTTGTTATCTCAAGAGGTTGCGTGTAAAATACACATCCTTGTTTTTCCAGAGAAATTATCTAAAACAATGACCTATGATTGATCTACTAGTAATGAATTTGTTCAAAAGTAATAGTAACCTTGTTGGTCAGGGAATGAATATTAATGAAAAATTATTTAAGAGCATTTCAGAAGTACTGCATGATTCAATGTTAGAAAGATAGAAAACATTTCTTAAAGCGTGTTTAGGTAACTTAAACCCCAAGTGGTCAGGACATGATTTCACTATTTGACTGCATGTTTTAGTTAAAACTGTAGAGCTTTGGTGCAGATATCTGGGCGTGTGCAGTATGTTGAACTTATGCATGACAGCATTAGTTTTGAGGAAATGTTTTTTTCATTGTAAAAGTAATAGTTCATACATTGAGTAAGACAGATACAGTACACTACATTTCAAAGTAAGCAAAATGGGTCTGCAAATCTCTGATCTAAAATACTTTCAACTGTGAAACACAGACAATAGATCCTCTCTGATTTCCAGGCAACATAGCCTGAAAAGACTTGCAGCGACACAGCCACAGGAAGAGCAGAAGAAATCCAGGTCCAAGTTTTATGTTACAGTTACAATAAGTGTAATAATAAGAGTATAAATAAATCTGATGACTGTCCTGACACTGGAAACCTGAGTGATTCATTTACACAATAGGGTCTGGGATAGAAATGTTTTTACCAAATCAAGGATGAGTAGTTTTCACGAGAATGTGTGCTTCAGAGGACAAAACAGCCACAAGGAAGTCGTTACTTTTTTGTTTGATTGAGTAATAGTTTTTGACAAGTATGCTACATTGATGATGATCATACAATCTTGCCAAATTGATTAGAGTTCTTTATTGCTATTGCTGGAGCTGTTTTTGTTATGGCTAGACTTATCCTCACTAATATAAAACAATTTGCTCAGATTGGTAGTTGTAGCTGGTGTCCTGCAAGGCTCTGTTTTTGGTCCCATTCTGTTTTGTATCTATGTACAGTATATGACCATTCACTCATTGTTTGTGGGTATGGCAGCATTTCTGTGTTTATGACAACCAAATGTATTCATTCTGATGTTAAATCGGGCACTAGCTGTCTTGTCACGATGCTTTTAGTATTTGAACTTGTACAGTATTTGGCTAAATCAAAGTTGTGTTGATTACGTTTGCTTATCAGTTTTACAGATGTGTGAATCCTGTTTGTCTCTTAGTGGACGTGGAATCAGTTGTTCACGCTGATGTGAAGGTATCTTTTTTAATCATCATAACGTACTGTAGCATGTATCTGTTCTCTTGAAAGCATCAGCTTCAACAACCTGACTGGATTGCTTGTTCTATATTCTGTGGCACTACGAGGGGGTGTGTTCAGTGTGGAGGAGGAGCCCTGGATGAAGCCACAGCTGTGAAGGCTCTTTAAAAACACACTTAACACCCCCAAAGGGACGAGCACGGCAACCCCTGGAAGGGGAGGAACTTTCACCGGCAGTACCAAAGGGGATTCTACCCGTGCGTAAGGCTGTCTTTTTTCACTTTCTTTTTCTTTTCGCCTGTCCTGTCATGCATCTCTACCGGGGCAGGCTGACCTTTTTCCGCAAGTCAAGTTTTTATTTTTGGGCCTGCGCTCCCTGCCATAAACAGGGTTAGTCTAGTCCGGTCCCCGCCTCCCAGCGGGATCTTTTCCCCAGGCTGGACCCTGTTAGATAGGGTGAGTCCAGCCTACACAGAAGCGCAGCGCCGCTTTATACAATGGCACATTTTTCTGTTTTTCTTTTTGTTTTCTTTTCGGTTCTCGCTAGCCTCACACAGATGGTGCATCGACTTTTACCAGTGCTCGCCGCGGCTCCTTCCACTCCCGTAATGTTACAGTTCCCACGACCCTTTGCATAAAGAAGTGCCTTCTGTCCTCAGTTTTAAATGCATTTTCACTGACTTGTGCTCTCTGGTTTGTGTGTCTCTCTATTGATTCAGTGAAACACTGGGTTGACTTTGTCAGTACCTTTGAGGACACATTAACTTGTATCAGGTCCTCTCATATTCTTTCCTGAAGACTTAAGACTTAAAAGGTTCACTTACTGTATTTCAGGGTGTCAGTACAGAACATTTCTTTCATCCCTGAAATGCATCTGCACTTTTGTGGACTGAATGCTTAGCAGCAATATCTTTTGATCAAACTGTGCACAATATTCTAAATGTCATTTTTTTGTCATAATTTTTTTCTTCACACCTGAAGTCAAAAGGAAATCTAGGTTTTTGGTTAATTGGATATTCTCTCTCACTGCTAGTATATTGTAATGCAGGTCCTCCTGACATTAACAAATGGTTCAATGGTGTTTCCTCAATCTATTAGTGCCATGGAAGCCATATAGATTACGACACTGATTTCAGTAACAAAATACATCATAGCCTAAAGAGGCACAGAGATGGACGCTCAATACAGGAAGTTAATCTTTAGAACTGGGCTGTATTCCAACTTAGTTTGAAATGCAAGAGCACGCATTCCCTAAATGTGTTGAGTGTGAGTACTCCTTTGGAATGAAACACATAATACATCAGTAAGGGGCAATGTATATTTTTTTCTTGGAAAGCTGGAATAGTGTTAGAAAAAGCCTTGTTATTCAGAGTGCCAACATGAGGAAAATCACTTTATTACCAACTTGGTCCCTAAAAAGCCACACTATTG